AGCTAGGCAGAGTAACCGCCTTGGAGGACAAATTTGAAGATATAGACGCCCCCCTGCCCCCCCCCCGCGGTTTTCCCCCCCCCCCCCCCCCCATCTCCAGCCAATACCATTGCGCTACCTTTGGCGGTCAAGGTGTGTTACAACGAAGTAAATGAGCAAATGAATGGTACTTAGCTTCTCACATACATTTATACGCAGAGGTGTGCCAGCGATGCTGACCGTAGGTTGATGCTACTTACGGTAACTGACGCATTTTCCACAAATATAGTTAATAAGTTGGCTGCCGCTCGAACCATGCCGGCTGAATATTTGGGGAAATACAAAATCCAACATAAATCCAACATATTTTTTCATAACGAAGTCCACGTGCTTTTCTGAGTCCAGTTACTAGTAACTTTACCTCGCTTTCTTCGCAGCATCCCGTGATATGAAATTGACTTCACAACCGGTCGCCATAGTCCATCCGCTCCGCCCAAATCACTCTGAAAATAAAACATCGTCTAACGAGGACAGTACACACGACTCGTCGTCCGATGTAGAAGTCACCGTCATCTCATCGGAGTCACCGCCACCTGTAACATACATCGGAAATGCCTCGGAAGAGCTCGGAGAAACTTCGGTCCCATCTGAAGCTCCATCGCCTGAGGTCGGGACATCAGATTCTCAGTCGCATGTCATAATCGAATCAGATTCCGTATCTCCGGAGTATGTTATGATGCCTGGTGAAGTTATCAGAAGAAGGGGGTCAATTTTGAAGAACCCAAACGCTCCGGTGAGTAAATTTATTTTTGCGTAAACGTTAAAAAATAGATTTTATTTCAACTGTGAAGCTATCGATCTTGTTCTTAGGATAGTCTGTTTGTTCATTATGCCGGCTCGGAGACTTCCGGGAACAAACACGACAGAGTACACTCGTCGAAAGAGTAGTTTGCTGCATAAGAGGTGTTACTGTACATCCAGTTCTCAGTTGTGTCGAGGTAATCGGCTCTTTGCAGGTGGTTAGACACGTGACAGAAAAACGCTTTGTTGGAGAGCAGTGAACTCACTGTGAAAAGACAGAAAAAAGAAAGAAGAAGAAAATTACCATTTTAGATGGTACAAGCTCTTTGTTTGTCTTGTCGCAATGAAGTTCTTGCTCTCGAGCATGGCGGCTTGGACCCCTTGACAGACCAGCCTCAAAGAACCTATTTCGAAATGGCTTTGGTTTTTTTCGGCTACGCTTCGTTATTGGCTCAAAAGTCTCGCGCCACTTTCTCAACCAATAGAAGCCAACTAGAGCGGTTCATGACTTACACGGCAGAATGCGTTTGCTTCGAGATGTGATTGGTTCTCGTGGTTATGAGCTCGCGTTGTGATAGGCCAGAGTTATTACTTTTGTTCTGGTCTGTTTGGCGACCTTTTCCAGCGGTTTCTTCGAGGACCATTTTCCTCGAGCAACTAGAATAGCCCTCTCCACGTGATTTGTTGCGTAACTAAGAAGACGCAATTAAAAATATTGGTTACTAATAAACGTATTTAAGGGTCTGCTCGAAAGTTACAGGGATTTACTTTTTATCTTTGTAAATTTGTCTTTATTTAACCTCTAGAAATATGGCGACATTTTCCCAATAATCTTCGGCAAATCTTTGTTTAATACTTTGTAAGCAGTCAGACGTGTCAATCGAAAAGGATTATCACTATCAATTTATAATAAATTCCAATTATTTGCCGACCAGTATCGCCAACCATCTGCCCAGTTCCACTGTTCACGTGACAAGATGCATGCCGATGGGCTGAAAATTAGATGTTGCCAATGTTCCGGTTTTAGTCTGCTTCCATTCAAAACCATTCATTTACATTTTTCTTGCAGTCAAAACCCGCCAAAGTGGTCCATTTTCCTGTCAATATTCTGGCTTTACGAACTGTTCACAAATATGAGAGAATGGAATCTTATGAAGAAGAATGTGATTCTGAGCCGGAAGGAGATGATACGGAAGACGCTGAAGTGGCTAGCATGTGGTCACGTGAATATCCTATAGCCAGCGAGGAGATTGAGAACGAGCCGCCTACATTCCCTGTTGAGAAAGACATTGAGAGCCTTGATTCAATCACGGCTGAAGAAAATGGCTCTGTTTTTGCAAAGGTTGTGTCGTTATCCGACTCGCCTGTAGAAAAGAAAATGAAAAAGGCAGCTCGGCGAAAGAAGCTGGAAGAATGCAATCGGGAATGGGTTTCTTCTATTGTTTCCAACATGGAAGAGCCCGCGTAAACTGTTGAAGTGAACAACGAGCTTCTGTTTAAACGCACAAGGTTTCTCTGGTGTTCCCTTAAACAACTCCATTCCGTCAGATGAAAACCTGGGACTATTTCTCCCTTGATTGAGGCATATCCATCTTCAATAGATCTCAGAGACATATCCGTATATATGTCAAGTATTTGATACCAGTTGCTGGGACTTCTTTTAAGGACACGCATTTCTCAGTGAGGTTACCGGCAGTAGATCTTTAGTTTACTCGGACGAATTGTTAATTTTCGTCCTTCAGTAAATGAAATCGTGTCATGTTAAACTTTTCCATCTTTCCTTTTCATTCTGTGTCCCGAAATGAGACAATTCTAGTGAGCAGTGCTTTCCTTCGGTGCTGTTTATTATGCTATACAGGATGGTTCTAACATTTGTGTTTGTGGATGTAATCCTAAAGTTTATCCATTTAAATGATAGCTATCGAAAAGTACTTTCTTTTGGTTTTCTTATCATGTTGTACAAATATGCTGGATTTAACTTGGATAAAATCCTAAATCAAAAAGTGTGACCATAAAAAAAAAAAGATAATGAAAACTACCACATAGCTCTTTCCTTCGAAACTCCGTGATGTTTTACAAAAATGATCTTGCACACCCAATAAATAGAAGGAGATAAGAGAAGTTTCCACACCAAAAAAAAAACGATTTTGTTGGACCCGTTCTCTTTACTCCAAAGTAACACGGTGGTTCTTATAAAAATGTAGTTTCCTAGTTGTACAAACTGAAGGTATCGTATCATTGCTCAAACTTTGAAGGAAAAGCTACTCGTGTTCGAGTTTATATGTTGTCAGATGAAGTTGTGATCTTTGAAAGTTTAGACATTCGACATAGCTGTCAGCATATTTTTTATTGCATACTTATTATCGTATTGTTTTTCAATCATTGGAACGTAAATACTCATAATTATACATGTATACAATTTTTCCTAAAGTTACACTGAACAGAGAAAAAAATATTCAATTTTCTCTGCGAGAAAAAGTTACATTGAAAAGAACTGAGTGAGAAAAAGATATATAATGATAAAGTTTATAATATAATTTTTATTAAAAATGAGATATTTTACAACTTTTCCCATTGTCTTATTTTAGCTTTAAACCTTACGTGTACTACTCTTTCAATTTACAAATTGAATTTTTGTTGTACAAGGCTAGTGTCTTTGCTCTTGATTTTGTTGATTTGATGTGGGGTTTTTCAGATAATATTTGGACGCCGGGTCTGAAGCGTTCAGGGCAATTGTAAGGCCCTCTAGGAATTTAATGAGGGCGCAAGAAAATAGAAAGATTTTTCTATCTTTTCTTTTCAATTTCCCTTTCCCAGCAGGCGCATGCTTGCCAAACTTGCTCCAGTCTCTAGAGAAGTAATTGATAAAAACTCATTCACAATTAACAGTCGAAGGTCAAATACGACAAGAAGTTTCCAGAAATTCCGGTTGGAAAGTAAATGGAACGCGACTTTTTTGTTCGTTCCAGCGGAAAATTTCTGAGAGCAACAGAACATATGAATAGGAAGACCTCTTTTTCCAGATGGAACATTTTCTTAACTAAAATTCGTGTTCCTTTTCATCAAAGTCATCTTTTTGATACCAGTTTCGGACCTTTGCGGCCGTTCTTGGGTAAATAGAACTGATTTGTACAAATGGAAAATGCGATTCTGGAACGAGATTCACCGGTTTGCCTGGCCATGTAAATGGTAAACATCCACGTTTTTGCTCCAACGCTGTGCTTTGTGTAAGTTTCACTTATTTGATGGTGAAAACGCGCTTGATTAGATTGTATTACGAGTGATAAAGGGTCCAAGCTCGTGTGATCAGATTGCGTTCTATGCATTCGATTCATTCCGCCGCTACTGGACGTCTACACACACGTGCTACACATGTGCCGTGCATGCGTAATTGCAATAGCAACCTGGAGACGGGATTAAGATTATGTCTGGATCGCGAGCTCCTCTTGTCGTCCGCAATAAGTTTAATTCACTGAAAAAAATTATTTACACCGCAACCCAAAACAACCGTTCGATCACATGGGTCTTACTTTTATTAGGTAATGTATTAACTGATAAGGCGTATTATCAATGAATTTAACTATTAGTAAATAAGAATTAAAAATTTTCTAATACGGCAAACCAATCCAGCAGTTCGATTACATAGGTCTTAATTAATATATATTTTTCATAAATTTTCAAATTATTTGAATGTTTTCATGTATTTTTAATGCAAAACCAAAACATCCGTTCGGTTACATGGGTTGTGTTTTCGTTGTAGTTCGATTACCTAAGTCTTATTTCAACTTTATTTAGTTAACTAAAGATTTATTTTTAATTAATTTTCAAATTATCTAAATGACTGTGTTTAATTTATTAGTATACTGCAAAACCAACACATCCGTTTGATCACATGGGTCGTATTTTCATTGTAGTTTGAGTCATTGGGTAATAATTGTAACCGCTCCATTGTGGCATGTAAGCCTGGTTTAAGTTTGCTAGTCCGCATTTGTTGAACCACCATCCAGAGGGGCCGTTAATATTTGCGCACCATTTAAGGCCGTTGTTGTTTCGATCTGATGTCGAGAACGGCATACCGTTCTGTTCGTTTGCTTGAGTACCGTCGCCGTGTATGGCATCGTTCATATTTCCCGATACAATTGGCCCGATATGAAGACGGTAATTATCCTCAGGTCCTGATATGGAGAAGTCGTCGTAAACCGCATAGCCGTTCGGTAAGACATCGATCCGTAACTTTACAGGAGATTTTGTCAGGAGCGAGAGATACTTATTTCCAATCCAAAAGTGTTCTCCTCCGCTCTCGATGCCGAAGCCTTGTTCGTAATCGGCCCAAGTCTTGGAGAGTAATGCTTTGAAAGGAGTCGAACGCTTCTGTATTTGAGTCCATCCTCCACCATCAGTAGTCTGGTCACAATAAACTGCTATTCCTTGCCCATCATCGCCGCCAGGAGCTATTTGCTTGAAGCCGCTTAATCCGTCGCCAAGATCTTTTAATTCCTTGCAATTTCGCGCTGTGGAAAGACAGTGAAACAGGCAGATGAAGCAGACTTCTTAACAGGTGCTGGATCAGGTTTTTTTTCAATAACATTCTCTACTTTCGTCAACTGCGAGCTTTGAGCAACGAGTTGATAAGAGAAACTTCCTTCTTCGCAACACAGCCCCTATGATCGCAAATGACAAACATCTAACGTACCTCTTGGTCTCTCACACTGTCTGCCGCGGAAAAACCTAGTACACTGACAGTAAAACATGTCTCCATGACAAGTATCTATACAGGTGCCTCCGTTATAACAAGTGTATTTAGCACATCCAACACTGTCCTGTTAAGAGGAAACACAAGAGGTTTTATTTTACTGAATACAGTGATGTATCTCCTTGATATTTTGAGAAAAAATGCCCGTGCATAGCTTCCTCCTTCTGGAATTCCTTTTGTAACGGTTACACTGACCGTTAGGAGTCTGAGAAAGAGAAAAGGAAAAAAATCAAGGAAAGAAAGGGAAGGAGTTGTCAGTGTCGCTCCCCTTTCTACCCCCCATTCTCTCACCCATTCTCTAGAGGACAGTGATACCTGCGGAGAATGCTAGGCCCTGGAAAGGTTTGTTGGTCTAGAACTAGACTTACTCACAAGTCAAGCTGGGGAATGCCTGTGTTGAGCACGAGAATGGGAGCGAACCGCGAGAAAGAGGAACCGAGAACCTCAAGGGACCTGAGATAACTAGACTTTAAGGTCCGATTCTGCTAAGGTAAACATGTGCAAAAGAAGATTCCATACCTTAATTTCCGTCAATGATTGGTAATAGACGTATCCATATTTGACTATGTAGCTATCTGGTTTTTCTTCCTTTTTTTCTGAGTTTAATTCACATGTATGTCTTCGGCTGCTGGTATTGTGATATTCGTAGTTGTACGATTTACAACCCTCGCGACCCACGCAACGTCTTCCACAATCCAATTCATCTCTTACCATGTATCTGACAATTGGAAGGTATACATTTCACGTTATGTTAAGCGTGAGAAACAGTGTTTACTCGGATATGTGCCAGACTTAAAGCCATGTGGACAAGGAAAGTAGGTGCGGTGTGCTACCGCAGTGACTACTGCTAACTTATTTTACTATATATCTACAGAATAAACTGAGCCATGTGTGTCACGCAGGGGGAAACCCCACCCCCCCCTCCCCCCTTTTTTCGGGTATGTGCCGCAGAACTCAGGTTATTTCAGGGTCTTGAGTCTTAAAAAGGGTTTTCAATTTTAGCGTTTTGAACATGGTGTCTTTTTGGGCTGGAAGCCTTTTCAAGAGTGTGAAGGTTAGTGATAACCTGCCTGCATTTGTAGTACCAAAGAACATCAGTTTTCCACATAAAATCTAATTCCATGATGTTAGTTTGCGGGAAAATAAGTCGATTGTGTATGCAAAACGAAACAAATCAGGGTCATAAAATAAGGTCTCTTGACTTAATCGAGATAGAGAAATGTGCCCTATGACCACACCCAAACTGGCCAATAATGTCTGGACATACGTCTGCTGGGAAACCTTCCAGTGAGTCAAGTTGCAGGTTGTAAGTGCACCTTGCAGGCTGGGAACTCTTCCATCAGTCTTGCTGGAAATGAGGAGCAGTTTAATTTTTCCCAGCAATCTCCCAAAATGCTTAAAATGGCTTCAGAAAGCTTTATTCCTACTTTGTTGTTGTTTTTCGGTCTTTTTCTCAAAATTTCCCGTTGGGCGCCCCTGATGTTGCGCGGACCGGTTCGCAACGACGATTTTTAGCGCAACACAGCATTACAACATTGTTGCGACGTTGTTTCGAACAGCTGCAACATTGTTCCAACATTGCAACGCTGTGTTGCGCTAAAAACTGTCGTTGCGAATCGTCCCGTGTAACATCACCTTTACCCAAGCTTCCTTAAGTGCACCCGTCGAGGCGTCAAATCACCATCTTTGGCACTGGATCTGCCTCGAAATAAAATCACGTTAGCTGCACGTTAGTTAAACCTTTAAATTGGTTAGTAGCCTGACTGCAGTTTCAATCAAACTAAGAATACTCACGTTTCAAGAGTTTGATCGACCAGAGCGTGATCTGTTGAAATAAAATTAAGTTCAATAACTAAAAAAATTCAACAACAAATCATATACTCGCAAACAGTTTTAGTCGAAACAGTGCGACAGAAAACCTAATATTTTCCTGGCTCTCATGCCGCTCTCCCTTTTCTTAAACAATAATAACACTTAAGTGAAGGTAACCTGCCTTTTTCTTGAACTTGAAAAAACGCCGTTCTGCACCAGACTAACTGGGCTACACATATGTTCACTATATGGAGAAGACTGCTAAGGCGGTAGATAACATCAACCATGGTACGACCTAGCATTGAAAAGTTCGGGTGAGTGCCACATACAAGTAAATTGACCCCTCTAAATGCAAACTAAGATATCTCAATCCAATTTGCGTTACATGACAAATGAGGTAATAGTTTAGCGCTTTATCTTGACGTGTGATATGATTGGTCAACTTGCAGTTAAATGGGATTTGTAATATAATTTGTCTTTTGTCTAGTCAAAACCGCCAGCTACGGAAGCTAGTCCAGGAGGGATTACAAGAATAGATGAAGACCTTAAGTGCGACCACTTTCAAATGAAATCTACTGAGGAATATTTCGTGTGGCGCTGTTTATTACGCTGTGTAGGCGGTGCTAACTTTTGAGTCTGTGGATGAAATCGATCCTAAAGAGTGACCATTTAAATTACAGCTACTGAGCGGTAGTACAAAGTGGTTCTAACTTTTGAGTCTGTGGATAAAATCGATCCTAAAGAGTGACCATTTAAATGAAAGCTACTGAGCAGAAGTTCAAAGTGGTTCTAACCGTTGAGTCTGTGGATGAAATCTTAAAGTGTGACCATTCAAATGAAAGCTACTGAACAGTACTTTCCTGTCAGTGGTGCTGTTTATTACGCTGTACAAGGTGGTTCTAACTTTTGAGTCTGTGGATAAAATCGTTAAGTTTGACCATGCAAATGAAAGCTACTACTGAACATCACTTTTCTTTGGAGTTGTTTTGATATTACGCTGTGCGAGATGGTTCTAACTCTTGTGTCTGTGGATGAAATTCTTAAGTTTGACCATTGAAATGAAAGCTACTTAGCAGAACGTTGCACTCTGGAATTGCTATAAAAGTTAACTCTAAAAGTTTTCACAGGATGCGGCTTTGTCTATAAACGTTAAGGTGACAAAACCACCGCGTAATTTTGTGCGTCAACAGAAGGCCAGATTTTCATTTGCAGGTGAACGTTAAAATGTTTCTGATGATTTTCTAGGTTGCAATCATTACTCGTTCTCTTCAAAAACTAAGAATAATTTCCATACTCTTGTTAAAACTAAAGGAAACTCGATTTCCTTCGCATTGCTCAAGCCTAGTTTTATTTATATATTTATGTATTTATTTTATCAGTTTTTGTTACAGAGAGGAACTTCTGTTTTGATTGAAACCGGCTTAGTGGAACCGCCTAGTACAGCAAAAACAGAATCAAAACCAGACTAAAGTCGGGTTTTGCGGTGTCACTTTCAAAGTTACAAACTACATAATTTTCATCCGCACTTGGCATTTAACAGAACCACCTTCACAAGATTTCATATACCCGTCAGCTAGAGAGGAAAAAATGAGAAAAGACAAATGAAAAATAAGATATTCCACATATGACTCTTATTTAACAATGAATTTGTTCATGCAAGTTGATAAAGTCTTAACCCACCTTTCTTGTTTCGTCAAAAAATAAGCATTTTCATATAATATCGATTGAAACGCACAGTAATCTGTCGCTGATTTCGATTCTGCAGATTGTTCTCGCTAGTTTGAGCTGAGCGATAAGATATAAGTAAGGCAACCTGCTCATAAAACAGGTCGTGAAGTTTGAAAATGGGATCGGAAATGAACATATGTTCGTTTCTGTTTGTATATCATTAAGACGAGTCTATAGGCGGCAAAAATTGACAGTATTCGGCATTTTAGAGGGGCTGCTCTGTTTCCCCGAAAATAAAATTACGAATCGAAAAGATATAGCTGATTCTATCAAGGGTACTTACTGTTTTGGAAATTGGCAATTTGGTATTGGGCATTTGGGCATACCAATCAATGCAATGGATTTACCTGAGGGACCACTAAACAATAGCTCACCAGTGCCCAATGCCCCAAGCATCCTTTATTGAAACAGCTATATATTCATTGTCGAATGTGATGAGAGAATACTTGTATGCTTCCAATACAAACTTATTCGCTTTAAAAAAGAGTTGATAAACTAGTTTGTTTTGTTTTTATTTTTTTTTTGTCCTTGAAATCACTTAAGGATTTTAATGATGCTTGTTGAAACTACTAGCAATATACCTTCGTAGTGGGAAGTTGCAGTATGTAAAAACTATAACGCTTAAATATATTAAATTTTAAATGATATTAAATTATGGTAAACATCGCATCCATGTGTTACAAGCGCCGAAACTTATTAAAAATCATACACGAAAAGGCTTATAGTACCCGACGGTATTGAAAAATAAATACAGTCAAACGCCGTTAATATTGACACTAAGAGGGCTATAGAAAGTGTCCGTATTAAGAGGTTCATGTATTTTAGTCGAAAATACACCTTTTATTTGAACAAAATCCTAAAGAAATAAAACAGGACATACCTGTATCAGCCTTCACAAAACCTGAAGAAGTCAAAAGTCAGGCACAGAAATTGTAATTCGGACTTCATACACAAAGAACATTTGAAGAAAACGTTATTAAATATCCAGCCCCTAAAACGCAGGAAAAAGTGCTTGTTTTGACAACGAGGCGGCCTCCATCTCATATATAGGGCAAGTAGCCTATGTGTAGTCGCACCCTCGCGCCGACAAAGGAAAAACAGGGGCAGGGTGCGGTTATACGCAGGCTAAGGGCAACTGGTACGAGGTAGCAAGAGAAGTGTCGCACCTGTAGAATGGAATCTTTGTGTATTTTACTAAGATGAATCAAAACCACGAGAAGCTCTCATATCAGTTACGTCATTCAATGTTAGCGATTCAATTCTTGCAACTGGATCATCGTATCCAGATAATACGATGAGATTCCGCCCTGCTGGCGTCACTGATCTCATTGCTGCAAAGGCAAAGTATCACAAGAAGTGTCTAATCGCATATAAATACCTCACTGGCAAAAGCAAAAAGGAAACTCAAAAGACAGACATCGCTATGATTTTATCTGTTCTGAGCTCCACTATGCTGCCGAGCGTAACAAAATACTCCAGTTATCTGACGTATGGGTGAGGTATGGCACACAAATACCGCAGTCGTTTATTATTTGATGAGAGGGTCATGAAAAAAGTTGGAGACTTGTTCGTATTCGCCCAAAGTAATGGCACTGTTAATGATGACGAAATGTTCACAATGCCTCACTATGAGCCACAAAAGGCGATTTCTTGTCATTGATTCACGTCGCGGTAAAACGTAGAAGGGACTTGATGGATACCCCTGTTGGACACCTCACTAGTGCAAGACACAGTCGTGTCTGTCTCAACTAATCTAAACCCAGACAACTTCACGCAGTTCACAACTGTAACATTGACATCAACGATTCGTCACTAGAAGGAAAGAACACTTTCCACGCAACTTAGGTAGCTGCTTGGCTAAGAGGACCAGATTAAACAACGCATTTGGCAAGCTTGAAAAGACTTGCTGACAAAATTGCCCTTGCTATTCCTGTAGCAACTGCAGGCAGCTTCGCGTTGTTGTGGAAGGCAAAACTTGTCCTGGTATTTTCAGAACCTGTTGAACCGAAGTGATATACTGTTTTTATAATACGGTTTGGCGCCAGGCGCACATTTTGAAACCAGTGCTTCCCGCCGAACCTATAACAGACAGACCGGACGTTAGCTAAAGACCCACACTGTTCCCTTTCTTTATGATGACCCCTCAATTCAACCCCGCAGGCTTATGTGGAGTT